TTATGGTACCATGAGTTGAGCTTGAGTCTCAAACTCGTTGGTTAGGGTGCGTATATGCAGTGGATGCGTAGCTGGTTATAATAGGTTGAGATGTACCCTGTTAGGTCTAGGTACTCATGCCCACCTTTGGGTACGTTTTTGCATGTTGCCTTCTATTCAGGTTGAGACCCCCATTATAGACCAGTGAATGTCCCTTAGTGTGGATATATTTATATGTATGAACTAAATAGATATTGTGAGGTGTCTACGGTGTATCTGCGTATCGGGTCACTGTATGGATTGCAGTTAGATTAGGACTTGCTCGTGGGTCTGACCCACTCCTTTATTATTCTTTTCAGGTATCAGACGGTTCCAGCCTTAGAACTTGATCGTGCTTGTTGAGGATAGTCTCACATTCATCTATATATGTAGGACTTCTCTCGAAGATTCCAGTTTAATTTATTCTCAGTTTCAGTTCAGTTGAGATTTTCTTTAGGGGTCCACTAGTTGGATTCCCAAGTTGTAACCTTGGAGGTTTTGGAGGACTTAATTGATATTTTAATCGTTGGAGGATTTTATTTATATTTCTTTTGGTATTCTTTATTGAAATTCCTAGATTTATAATTCTATGTTCGATTTAAAATACTTTAATTGTTTGATATTCCCTCGGGTTTGGGCCTTGGCCTGATCAACCCGTGTCTCGGATCCGAGGGGTATCACATGATGTGTGAAAAAAAAAAAAAGAAAAAAAAGAAAAAGAAAAAGGATCATACCTCTTTCAAATATTATTATCAATTGAATGATGATGTCTAGGACTAGAACCTTGAGAGGAAGAAGATGGTAGAGAGAGAGAGAGCTAAAGGTAGTGCCGAAAAGATAAATAACAGAGAGGGACTTTAAACCCCTTGGAAAAAAATATATATATAACTGAACTCACTTTATCCGATTTCATTTGGTAAGATCATGTTTGTTATTATTATTATTTTTTATCTCTTTAATAAAAGATGACGTATTTGCTTTTCATTAGACTACATAAGCAGTGAGGATATTGTAGATCCTCACTAGTAAGGACCTAACTATTGTTTTATTTTTATTTTATTTATTTATTTATTTTTAATATAGGAAAAAGAAAAAATAGCAAAACTTATGATTATAGAATCCAAAACCTAATATAACTTTATAACTTAAATTCAATTTTGCCCGTATATATCTTCTTTTGGAAGACTTTTTCTATTAAATTTTCAAATAATTAAAATTAGAAGTTACAAATTTTTATCATAAGTGATCTCTTTATGGTGAATAAGAATCCTAATTACTTAAAAAAATTATAATTATATTTTGATTTGGCATTTTCTAATTACGATTAAATTTTAAGAGTAGTGATACTCACTCACACCGAACACTTGCAATGACTGAATAAATTTTAATTGGTTATTTATACCAAATACAACTAAGTGGAGTGACCAAAGGGCCTTTGGCCCAATGGTATAACCTCCCCATCATTTCCCAAATTTTAAAGACATAAAGATATTTGGGCAATCGTTCTTTCCTTTTCTTTCAATTGACAATTCGTTTGCTAAAATAGGAGATAAGATTATAGTGTAATATGTATTAAATTAGAAGACATTAATGTCTTTAAGAATTATAATTAGAAATGAAAAGGGAAAGAAAAATGAGAAAACTATAAAAGGAAAAAATTAACAATTTCAATTGAGGAAGGAAATTTTGAGTTTTTCTTTTAAGGAAATTTAGGCTTTAGATGGAAATAAGTAAGGAAATAAAAGAAATAAAAAATGAAAGAATGACGTGAATGAAAAGAAAATATTTGTTTCAAGAAAATTTATTCAAGAAAATTGTAAGAAAATATTTGTTTGTTAGTTTGAATTGTACATACCAAAACTGCCTTGTGATTTCAAATACTAAAAAAATAAAATGAATTTGTGTTTGATGAGGTCTATTTTTAGCAAAGAAATAGTAAAATAATAAATTATTAAATTTAATAATATAACTTTTTAATATTTCTATTGTTTAAATTAAAATAAGATTTTATAATATTTTCTTTTAGGGTGAAGTAGAACTCGGTGGAAATATGTGTGTGAGCACCAACTAAAAAAAATAATTTAGGAAAAACATGGAAGTTAAAAAAAAAAAAAAAAAAAAAAAAAACTGGACTCTTGAGCTTTCAATAGAGAACACAAAATGAGCAAAAATCGATTATCGTGTATATTATTCTCTACACATATATAGAGAAAAGTTTTTGGGGAAAATTAACCCAATACCAAAACTACATTTTCTTTTACGTTTTTTTATTTTTTTATTTTATTTTTATTTTTTATTTATTTTTCATCTAACTCAATCATTCCCAAACATTGCATTAGGTTAATTACCATTGGGCAAAGACAAATACAGTTGCTAAGAATCAAGTTAATCATGATTAATTTGAATTTGGTCTGATGGTTTTCATAATTAAAAATCAAACATGATTCTACACACTAGTTTTGAAGATGTTCATAAATAAAGTCGTTCGGGTTCGTTTGGTTAGCTTGAATTAAGTATAAAGGAAAAGAAACGGAAACGAAAATTAATTTTTGGGAGTTTGGTTACCTGGAAAGGGAAAATTTTTCAGGAAGTGGGATTCCGCTTCGATAAATTTTCTCAAAATATTTCCCTACATAAAACACAGGAAAGTTTATTTTCTCGCACCAAACTATCATTTTATTTCCAAAATTCCTATTATGCCCAGTTGTTTCTCCATTTGTTTTTTTCACTGGTTATTAAATTCAGACTTAGAAAATATTCCAACAACTATATTATATATTGGGACACATAATTTGATTATATCTGTTACCTAAAATTTTTGGAAATAAATTAAGAGTGGAATGGTATAATATTAAATAATATAACTTTTAATTTTTATCAAAATCTCAATAGAAATATGGGAAGAGATTAATTTGAGTCATCATATTATTTATATGACATAACAATTTCATGGAAATCCATATAATATTTATTTTTTACTATCTATACAGCTTTGAACTGAATTGAGTTTTATACTGTGTGATTTTTGCAAAGAAAAATTTGCATAGAAGTGGTTCATATTCATAAAAAATAAGGAAGGGGACTAATAAATTATGCATGAACCATAAAATTATTATGCATTATTATAAAATATGTTACTTTTGCATGACAATTTTTATCCTAGAGTTGAATGTAATGTTTCTTCGAGGGGGCTAAAAAATATATATATTTAATAATTCAATAAAATATGAATATGTTATCATAAATGAACTATATTCTACATATAAATATAAATAATTATTATTGAAAGTACAAAATAAAACAATGTGGCAACTAAAATGCAGTCTTCCTAGTTTTTCTAATTTTAATATGAATAATAATAATAATAATAATAATTATTATTATTATTAATTTACTATTTTATGATAAAACATGAGTATGTTATGCTAAATGAATTATATTCTACATATAAATATAAATAATTATTATTGAAAATAGAAAATAGAAAGAATTTGACAACTAAAATGTAGTCCTCCTTAGTTTGTCTAATTTAAATATGAATATAAATAATAATAATAATAATAATAATTATTATTAATCCATTATTTTACTATTTAATTGCTAAAAATTAATATAAATAATTGGGTATAAAGATGATTCATCCAACAAAATTAATTTATTTTTCAATATTTGAAATCATGAGGGTAATTTTGGTAAGTAAATCATTTTCTTTTCCCTTTCATGCTATCCAAACTAATAAAATAATATTTTCCCACAACTTTCTTGAAAATTTTTCTTACTAACCAAATGCAAGTAGGAAACTTGATTTTTTTTTCTTTCACTTCCACTTTCTATCATAATTTTCCGTCTAACCAAACAGACCCTTAAGGCTTACGAATAACAGTTTTTAGGAATTGTTTAGATTTATGATTGAACTTTATCTTCTATCAATTTTGATTTTAAATTTGAGTTGGAGCTTGACATTAAATTTAAAATTAATCAAGTGAGCGGAATTCCATGTCTCAAGAGTGAGTTTGATTGTTGAGCTCTCTACCGCATATGCATTCGTTAATCTTCGTTTAGAAAGCTGTAAAATCTAGTCATACTTTCACCTTTTTACAAAAAAAATATTATTTAACATTATAAGTTATAATCTGGGAAAAAAAAAAATGTAACCCTACAAAAATTTCATTAACAAAACCTATACACATTACAAGATACACACAACTCTAAATCACTGATGTACAAGTTATTGGTAAGAAACATACACACGTTAGGGATGGCAATTGGTCTCGCTGGAATGGGTACCCGCCTTATTCCGCTCCATTTATAGTAATTTTGGGAAACCGTTTAGCTTATTTAGGTGGGAATAATTTTTATTAATGAAAATCCGCACGGGTTCAGATCGGGGGAGGTCACCCACCCTGCCCTACCCGTTTAGGTAGATAAATTACTAAATTACTCTTATTTTATTAGTTTATATAGTTAGCTCTAAAAATCATATGTCACATTTACTCATTTTCTCCGTCGTTATAGAGAGCGAGCGCTACAAACTACAAACTAAGATTGTTCGTACTCTTGAATTTCATATTAAACTAAGGAGAAATTATAGAACTAAACGGGACGGAGTAGGTACCGGTAAAAAAGTTAAACGAGGCGGGGATGAGTGAAAAGGCCCCCGTTTAAGCAGTTTTGGGCGAGAATGAAACGAGTTTCTAAACTAGGCAGGGAGGATATACTCTCCCAAAACCGTTGCCATCCCTACACATGTTTACTCCTACGAGTCTAAATATTTAAAGAGTTATATTAGGAATAAAAAAAACATAATAAGTTCCAAAAATTCCATTAACAGTTTTAAATCTTGATTGTTTAAAATTTTTCACGCTAAGTAAACAAAACTAAGAGGAATAACCATTCTCAAAAAAGGATCCGGTTGAACCCGGTTCATCCGAACCGGTCCACGCTGCTACAATAGAGAGAGAGAGAGAGTGACGACTCTAAAACCCACCTGTGGCATAGGCATAAGTTAGATGATCCAACTCTCTCACTCACGGAGGCGATAGATATAGAGATATGGATATAGAGAGAGAAACTAACGAACCATCATCAATTACCATAACCCCCATGGATACCGGAACAGCCGGTGCCGGTGCCGGTGCCGGTGCCGGTGCCAGCGCCGTTGCCGGTGGCGGAGGCGGTGCCGACAATCTCCCCTCAGCCACCGTGTCGCAGTGGACCTCCTCCGTGTCGCAGTGGTTCCAGCACGTACTCGACAAGTCGACCCCTCACGTCCTCCACCGTTGGATCGCCTTTTTCGCCATCGCGATCATCTACGTCGTACGCGTGTACTTCGTCGAGTTCTACATCGTCTCCTACGGTCTCGGCATCTACATCCTAAACCTCCTCATCGGCTTTCTCTCTCCTCAGGTTGACCCGGAGTCCCAAGACCTCTCCGGTCCCACACTGCCCACCCGAAGCTCCGACGAGTTCCGACCGTTCGTTCGCCGACTTCCGGAGTTCAAGTTCTGGTAAATTGCCCTGTCGTTTCATTGATCAATCTAGTCTCATAGTTTGTTATATCTAGCATTTTTTTTTTTAAATCAATCTAGCACAAAACTAAGTAATTGTTTTAGATGTGTTTGTTTTGAGGGAAAATATTGGTAGAAGGGAACTACTAACAATTTTTAGGAATTATTTTTCTGTGCAATAAAAAAAGGGTTTAAGGGGTTTCATGATTCATAATCAAATTGGATTAGTGTATTTTGCTTCTACATAGTTAGTTTAATCATCTAAGTTGTCTTAAGAACTTTTGGTAGCTTTTGCTCTCTAAGGTACTATTTTGTTGGTAATTTTTTATACATGAATTGTGAATGCCGTTTGTTCTGTTGTTGATGGTTTCCAAGTTAATGGTTGCTTCTGATTTCTCATTAATCATCATTTACTAAACATCTAAGCGGTCGCTAATGTATGTTCTGTACATCTGAATAACATGATATATTTTCTAGGGAAAAGCTTACTGAATATCTTTTCAATGCTTGGACTGGGTTTATCTTGATGGGTATGTGTATAACGGCTATATTGGACATAAATTTTTAGCTCAGTTGTGTTAAACTACAAATTTGTGTCATGATATAGTCATGCTTGCTGCACAAAATTGTGCCTACTTCCATGTTATTGGGAGTCCTTGAAAAATGTCATGATTATGAAAGGAGAAATCTTCTTCTTAGTGGATATGTTAATTCTGGTTTTATCTTGGTGGTTACGTGCTTAGTAGATATCATGGGCAGAAAATAGTTGAACTTTTGCTATTTTAATCTACAAATGTGTTGGATTGACAAGTGTTAGAACATGAGTTTGAGTCCTGAGAGCTGCGACTTTGAGCAGATAATGTAATAATGCCAGAGGTTAGGTAGGTTTGAGTCCTGGATAATGTATGTTTTGCATATTGCATATATTGTTGCGTACATCCAATGTGAGCTAATTTTGCTATGTACTCCTGATTAACATAACATGTGCTAGGGAAAAGCTTATAGATTCTCTTTTATGAGCTTGTACTGGGATTGAGTTCTGCCCTTTTGGTTCAAAATCATTTCTATTGGCACAAGATTTTATTTTAAAGGCTAATTCTGCACCACAAGAATAATAATAGGTTATACTGTTATGGCTAATGTTAATGTTCTGACTAGCAATGAAAAATGTGGGTTTAAGCTGGTCAATCGGTGCAAAATTCTCCGATCGTGGGTCTCGAATATGTAATCCTAGGGAGGAAAGGTGAAGACAGTCCATGAGAAGTGTCGGTAGCATAAAAGGAAATTTTTTAATTCCCCTAATAGAAATGTATATGCAACTAAAATAAACTTTAATACGTATTGGATGCATAATGATCATATAGCATGCACTTATACCTACCCCCTTCGTCCCAATTTAGTAGTCCATCTTTGGTATCTCAACTTTGTAAGGGGACATGCGTTTGATGCATTGTACACTTTTGAAATTCACAACTTGCCCTTTGAAGTTATATATATATATATATTATCAAGTTGGGAAATTTCTGAAAACTTAAAAGTATGAGAAATTCATTAATTGGAAAGATAGACTACTCCCTTTGTCCCAAAATTTTTGTCTCTCTCTCCATTTTTGGTTGTCTCCAAATTCTTGTCCCATTTGAATAGTCAATGTAAAAAATAATTTACTTTCCAAAATATACTCAACTCAAGTTGGGAAATTTTTTAAAACTTAAAGGTATGAGAAAATACATTTATTTTACTTTGACTTTTCAAATGAGACAAGTATTTCGGGACACACCTCCATGTTGGACGCAACCCGACGCATTGGATGTGCCAAAAAAATCATGTCCGAATATTTTTCATTTTGTACAGACACAATGGACACATTGGGGACATGTGGACATGTTGTGGACACACGACGAATACACGAGTGTGATTAAAAGAGGATTTAAAAAAAAAATTCAATGAAAGATGGGCTAAAATTTAAAATATGTGGACTTTGAAAACTTTCAATAACATGGAGGTCAATACATAAAAAAGAAGAAGTTATTATTATTATTTTTAAAGTAATTTATCGATCAATGTTATTTACTCAAATCTTTTTATAGTTATTGCTTCTTAGTAAAGTGAAATTTAATACCTGTTTGATGTAGAATCTGAAGGAGAAGAGAGAAGAAGAATATGATGGAAGAAGAATAATTAGGGAGAAAATCTTATTAACAATTTCAACCATTAATTCAACAAATGCAATATTCCCAATGTTTCAAGCCATATATATAGGCAACACTAAACAAACCCTAACTAAGCACTACCAAAAATAACAAGCCTGAAAATGACAAAAATATTTATAATAAACTCTAAAACAAACATATGGTTCATGTTACTCTTCATGATCTTCATCAATATGACAATCCAGGTTTTGCCTTGCTGGCTATGTGCATAATGGATCACCGATCAGGAAACATGTTTTGCCTTGGTAGGCAGATAAATGTTTAACTCGGTCCCCATAATCTGCAAACATGTTTCAGATATAATTCTTTATAGTGTAAATTGTTTGATTTGCCTGGATTGGAAATTTGTGCTGGTTGCATGAAAATTACAATTTTTCTGCATCCTAGATGTTGTTTATTATGTTCAAAAGTGTTACATTATTGTGGCCATCGATTTTGAGGTTGCTTAATCAAAATATTGAATGAAGTGTTGGACTCATGTGCTACCAAATTTTGTAATTTTACTGACCCATTCAAAGTAGACATGCTTGGGTGACAAAACTGAATTCTGTTATTGAGTGTTTTTTTCTTTTCATTTATATCTTGAAATTCTTGTTTGGCGACTGAGGCTGGTTATGCAGCCAATTATTTGGTATTATTTAAGGATGGCTTTATTCCAGCTTTGTGGTATGTGTATGAATTGAGGTTTTACTGATTTTTTCTTGTAAGGTATTCCATCACAAAAGCTTTCTGCATTGCTTTTGTGATGACATTCTTCAGCGTGTTTGATGTTCCTGTCTTTTGGCCGATACTCCTTTTCTACTGGGTGGTACTGTTCACTCTCACCATGAGGAAACAGATACACCACATGATCAAATACAAATATGTTCCATTCTCGTTGGGAAAACAGGTATCATTATGACCGTCGTACTTTTTAAATTTGTAGTCATTATGATTTACATCTCTCTTATGCTATCTACATACCACCCCACCTCCCAAAAAAAACTTTTATGCTATTTAATTCGACATAAATATTCAATTTTAAGAATTTCATCTCTTTTCAGCGGTATGACAGAAAGAGGGAATCTTCAACTGAAAGTGCAAGCCTTCTTCCTAGAGAATAGACCTTCAGGTGATTTGAATCACCATTCATGCTTATTAGAAGTTATATGTAAAGGTTGCCTAATGGTCTTAAGTTTTTTTTTTTTCTTTAACAGCTAGATCTTTCGAGGATGAGTTGGTAGGAGAAGCTCTCCCAAGCACGGCTTTCTGGGCGTTCTACTATTATTCCATATCTGGATCTTCTCCAGCCGCTATGCTAACTCTGGAGCTCCCCCAGAAATATTAACCTTCTAGGAAGCAAAATGTTTTTATTTTATTTATTTTTTGTTTAATTCGCTGTATAGGAGGAATATGCTACACTCTGGACAAGATGGGCTTTTCTAATTTCAGGATATTTTGATTAGATCCTACTTTTTCCATTTGCTTAGAAATGGCTTGGGATGCATTGCCCTTTAGAATGAAATACTGTGCCTTATTTTGGATTTTGAATTTCTTGGCGCCCTTTAGTAGAGTGGATTATTGTGCATTAATCTTGATGCTACCAATGCTTCCCGGCAGTGAGACAGGCTCGAATGAATTTTTTTCCGATGAGATTGTAATAATATGAAGCTACCTATTCTTCTTTCAGTAAAATGTGCGTAATCATTCAGCTATTGTCACTTTCTAATCTGGTGGTTGAGCTTAGCTAACCATGTAGTTATGGGTTTTTCAATGTGCATTCACGCGGCCGCGGTCCAACAGTGGTGGCAGGTGCAACATTTAAGCTGAAGTCCCAATGGAATTGTCAGGGTGATAAAGTGACTTTAAAGGAAACAAATGGATTCTGTGAAGCAAAATGCTTTATGTAGCTAGAAGTGTTTTTAATTCATCTTATTGATGAATGCTATCATTTTCTGTTTTTGATGTCTCAAATCCTTTAACTTTTTTATATTGTGGAATAACACACACACAGACATCACATACTATATTGTAATGTGTGTCTGTGTGAAAAATGATAGTTTGAGAAAAATCACCCAAAATTGAGCAGGGCATGTCTTATAATGCTAGGCATTATGTTTTCAGTTATGACTCTAATCAGTGTTCTTGTATGGCTCAGTTGTTTGGATTGTCATTTGTTGGTTTTACAACCCCAATTTTCCCCACAACCAAACAGAGAAGGGGTGAAATGAGAATCATCATTGCAACTTCAATACTTGTAATCCAAACTTCCATTAGTCATATATATCTTAGCAAATTCAGTGTATGAAAGAAAATCCAAACAATTCATCTGTGTTCTGATCAAACATCAAAGAAAGTTCAAAAAAAAAAAAAAAAAAAAAAACATGTTTGTAATGTATGAAAGTCAATAATAAGAGAAGAGGGGCTCACTGGACTCATGTTCTTGGCCTGTAATAGCTATAAACTCCATAAATCGTCTGCGCAAAGGTAAGCAACAATAAGATCACAGCAGCGAAAAATGAGATGATTGCCCATGGATTGTTGAAATAGTTGTGCTTCAAACTCGCTCGCCAAGCATTCCACTTGTGATCATAGTACTGGTTCACCTGCTCTGACAACCGGGAAAGATAACTGTCGTTGATGTCAAACACCACCTCTTGACAAAGGCGGTTGAAGAGGTCTGCAACTTCAGCATCACTGCCAAGCCAATGCTCGATTATCCCACAGTAATGGAGGTAGCCAACATCAGCCGGCGAGTTGATCAAGTTGTCCATGAAGATCACATAGGAGGTAATGTCATTGCTGCAGTCAAGGTGGCACTGCTCAAACGAGATAAGGTTGAGGAAAAGTGACTTGGTACCGTCATGGATCAGCAGCCGAGGAATCCTGAGGATCCCATTCTTGAATTTTATGTCCCAAAACCGGTCGGTCTTTCTTCTCTTGAACTTAATCCCGGACTCTCTCAGCTCCGTGACACAATGAATCAATTGCTGTCTACGCTTGTCTGCTACACGGCTGGAATGAGACCACCGCTTGATCCAAATCCTGGGCACCGGTTGAGGCCCTGCGCGCAAGAGACTTCTTCGAAAGACATCAAGGCAATGAAGGCTGCCTTGGTCTGAAAATGGATCAAAAGTGGTTGTATATCCTAGTGATGACTCCAATCTGTTCCTATCACTTTTTGTTAATGGCTCATCCGTTGGCATTAAGGGGTCAAAAAACCGGACTGCTAGCTTAGCCACAAGCCAATTCTGCTCAGGCTGACCATACTGAAGGCTTAATAGCCGATCAAGTATGAAGAGTGGCAGTTGATTCTCAAGCATGATCATGTCTCTCTGAATCGAGTGCATTGAGCCACGCATGGCGAAGATAGGGTCATTTCGCGAGTAACCAAGCTGCCTGAATCCTTCAGCAGCACCACGAAACAGCTCAAGCACGAAGCAGCCATCGAGGACCATCATTTCCACAAACTCATTGCTGCCGAGTGTGACAGAGCCTTCATAGCAAGCTCGCGCCTTTTCTTCTAGCTCCTTGATGGAATCAAGGTAGAGCTTGATGTCCTGATTGGTACGCTTGAGCATGTGGTGAAGGGAGCGCCATTTGTGACGGTCCATGTTTCGTAGGCGCCTCCTGCCATGGTGGTAAGGCCCCAAGGACACGGTCTGTGGTATGTAAGCTTTGTCGTCGCCTTCCCTTAAACACTGAGGCACTCTGTAGATGCAGAGCTTTGCCCACGAACCAGCCACGTCGTCTTGGCGTGCTTGCTCGAGTTTTTCTCTGATGGTGATCACCCACTCGGACTCTGGCGACTTGGCTTCCTCTTCAAACCTCTCATTCCCATCTTTGATCACGATTTGCAGCGAATCAGATGGCTGCTGCTGCTCCTTCTGCTGCTGCTGCTGTTGAGGTTGCTCCGGAAATTCGATCAAACGGTTAGTAGTAGGACTTTGTGAGCTGGGAATTCCAGCTTCTACAGTTTCTTTGAGTTTGAGGGTGATTAGGTACCAACTCAAGAGCTCTTTGTTGAACACAGCAACCATTTTTTATGGTTTTTTTTTTGCTACAATGCTGTTTTGGGCTTTGGTTGCCTTAAAATTGATTCCTCTAAAGCAACAAAAGCTTTCTTGGAATTCTTATTCTTCTTAAAATATAGAACTTGTTGCTTTAGCATCATTGTAGAAGGGTGTAGGATAATTATCATTTTGATGTTGAAATTGACCTAATCTAACAAAGCCAGCCCACATGGACCCTCTTAGTTTTGGAATATGAAAAATATTTCTAGAGGACTTTTTGCTTTTAGGTGCGTGTCTCTATTCAATCTTTTGTGTGTGGTGTTGTTCTACCTTTTACCATTTAAAAGAAAAAGAAAAAGTGTGTTTCTTGTATTATTTTGCTTCATATAGGACCAGCAATGAACCTTTTGTGCTACGGTTTATAAGGATTTAATACAATTAGGGCGAAGGTAAATTCAGCTTACAATGTTTCTATTATTACGGGGTTTGAGAAAAATTAGATATACTTAACTTTAACCACGTATAGATGGGTTGTTTTCTTGTTTCGAACTCGTGACTTCTAAGTCATAATAAAATAACTATATAATTATACTAAAAAAAAGTAAGAAAGATTCGGAATATTTTACACGTGATACTTTAGCTAAATGCACAGTCATACTTTTTTTTTAAAAAAAAAATTTGAAAATTTCTATAATTGTGCATTGAACGAAACATCATTATATACTTTCTTCTTGTTCTCAGCATTACGCCAAGGCTCGGGATGAAAACTAAAAAGGGTTGGGGATGAAGTTGGTGAGAAATAACTATATAATTATTACTAAAAAAAGAAGTAAGAAAGATTCGGAATATTTTACACGTGATACTTTAGCTAAATGCACAGTCATACTTTTTTAAAAAAAAAAATTTAAAATTTTTTAAAATTGTGCATTGAACGAAACATCATTATATACTTTCTTGTTGTTCTCAACGTTACGCCAAGGCTCGGGATGAAAACTAAAAAGGGTTGGGGATGAAGTTGGTGAGAAATAAATCAAAGTCTTAACAAATTGATTCCAATACGGCACTCAATAAGGGGTCTACTTTCATGGCAATATACCACAAACCCCTCATATTTTCCCTATCTTATTAATAATTGTTAAAGGGTATAATTGGAAATCCCTCTTAATTTTTGGTTACATCAACTCCAATACTTTTTATCTTTCTTCTCATTAAGATTTGACAAAAGCTTGTAGCCCTTTTTAATTTAAAAATCTATATCTTGTCTGCTAATATATATATAGTATTGGTGTGAGGTTATTGGGCATAACAATGAAATCATTATATTCTAATATGAAAAACACACACACACACACAAATGATGTATCTTCTACTGGCCTCTAACAGGTCCAGATCTGGCCCCATTTTGTGAACCACCTATCAGAAGATTAACACAATTTTTTGCACATGAAAGAATTTAAGAGAGGTGGTTAACATAATATATATATATATGTATAACATGATCTTGCAAGGAGGGGACATTTACAAGCTGGAAACAGAAAACTATATTTGTCCCACCTCATCCATTACTCATTAATAAGCTATACTTATAGTTGTTTATGCACGTTTTTGTCATCCTTCTCTATCCCAAGAAGGATAGAGAATGGATTCTTAAGAAACCATGTTCAAACATTTTCTATTTTTAACATTTTATCTGTTTATGCTATAAAAATATATCAGGGAATGAAATGTTTATACAATTATACAATAATTTGATTGTATATAAAATGTAAGGCATGTTTGGTTTGTAACTCTGAAAACAGTTCTGAAGAATTCAGAAAATTATTTTAAAAGACAATTATCTGAAAATAGACATTTTTATAACTGAGTTTTCAAAAAATTAAATCAAGCAAGTTTCAGTTTTCTGAAAACAGAAAATTATTTTCAAAGTTACAAACCAAACATGTATGTATTCATACTCTTAAGGACAAAACAGGTATGTATTCATACCCTGAGCCAAAACTGTACATGCAAACCCCTCTATAACTAGGAATAAATTTCTACACAAGGCGTATTTTAATATTTCCAATTTTAGAATATTCTTTTGTATTCTTCCTTTTTATGGTGTTTTTATAATCAAGTTGTCGCAAAAATGAAGAATTCTCTTTTACTGTTGGAAAACTTAAAAGTAATCATATAGGCCAGGATGAAAGATATGAGAGAGACATTTGCGGCACTTTGTTGTTATTATTATTTTTTTTTCTAACAACTTAACAATGTGATGAAAGAGATGGAATTGAATTAGGTGGGTGGATCTGGACAATGATGTAATGAACAATCCCTCTCCCTTTGTTTTTTTTCTGCAATTTCACTAAATATAGGTCTATTAATGGTGCTTGCAGTTTTATCCATAAAATGGGAGTTATGTTTGTGTTGACTAAAAACAAATCAAGAAAACACAACAGGGAAAAGTAAGCACCTTACGCATAGAGAGCACAAAAATTTAGCATGGTTCGACACAAGTTTATTTATATACACGATGAAGATCTGACAAAATATTTCATTATGCGTAAAACAGGAAATTATAAGTTTCAGCTCCCCAATTCTAAATAGGATCTATAACCCGCAGCCAAAAAGCAGGTCAAAAAATTTCCTACTCTCCTAAATTTGGTGGGTTTGTAAGATGAAATTGATGTTTTGAAATAGAAATTAGATTGAAAGTTAGTTTTTATTTGGTGTAATAGTTAAGTTCTCTGGCCAAGTGTGAGTCATTTTAGTTCTCTCTAGAATTGATCAGATGTTAAAAAAAATATATTACATTATTAATTTTGAATCTGTGTGAAGCTTTACTATGCAGAAACCTAGGTAGTATCTTATTCTAATATGAAAAGTCAGATTATTGATCACATAAACAACATAGCTCCTTCCTCCCACTATAGGCCCATGATCAATTTATTTAATGACCCACGTAAAGATTGCACAATTTTTTACGCCTATGTACCCACCAAAAGTACAACCATGCACGTGCCCAGCAAACAAAGATAAATAAGATTTCGTGTGCGTGTCAAGGGATGACAATGGGATTATTTGGGGGTGGGGATCTCATTATCATCTTCTATTTTCGTTTAATTTTTTATTTTAATAACTGTCTCAAAATTCGTGGAATTTTTTTTTAAGGCTATCCTTATCTCTGTTTCTATTTACATAACCAGTTCTCCAAAATCGTCCTACATGGACGGGCTTGCCAAGATGGAAATTTTTGCCATTCCTAAGCATGCCCGTGTGTGCAGTTGCACAAAAATGCTAATAAACTCTCAAGTTATCTACAAAACCTGAAATAAATTTATAGTTTCACCCTTTGACCCTAAAAAGTAGAGAATTCAATATAAAATTTCTAACTTTCAAATAGGAGCTTCCTCCCCTTTGAATGATCTCCTGGTCCTCTCTAGCCATAAACCCCACCACAAACAGGGGAGGGTCGCCCTTCAAACATCTCCGGCTTGACTACCCACTATACAACATTTTCAAGCCTTAAGCATGTGAAGAATATTTTGTACTGTCACGATTATTCAATCTTATACGTCGAGGATTCTACAATGGAGATTTCGAGAGATCCAATCCACCTCATTGATATTTTGGTAGGAGTTATTATCCTCATCATCGTCCTCCTTGTCTTGGTTTCCAATCGAATGGTCTATCCGGTAGTCGAAAATGTTTCTCTCAATTTATTGCCTACTGATTCATCATGTTTTAAACCTCGTCAAAAAATGACTTGAAATGAACCTTTGCTGCCAAACGCTAATAGAATCGATTATTGCTAACAGATAATTCAACCAAATTTAGAAGGGAAAAAAAATCTACATATTTTAACATTCTTTTTCTTGAAGAGGTTAAGATCAATGATAAACTCATCAAAAGGACTCTTGGATATATTTAACTCAGCCATTTCTCTATTTATACCTCAAAAGGACTAACTCACAAGGGTCTCTCCTATTTAAAGATTTGAAGCAACTTCCCTTCTTCACCCCTCAAAAGAATGGTTTCTCCTTTCTGCAACTACAAACGCTGTAAAAGCTCCACCCAGGTTCAGCCAGCTATATAAGATGAGTGCCTAGAGTACCATCTACCTACCGGATTGTGCTATGTTTTCGGTCCAAAAGGGCTTGCCAACAAAGTGTGTTGTTTTAGCGAAAAGTAATTGAAAATGGTTTTCGGATAGTTCTTCACGTAAGAAGTGGAAAGAATTCAATCAAGAAGTTAAGTACCAACATAAGGAATAATTAATTCTAAGAAGCTATTTGAATTTGATATACATTTAGGAAACAGAATGAGGAAGAACTTCAGAACTGCATACATGCTGCTAATCAGGGCAAATGAAAGATAAGGGTTAATGGAGGTCCTCGATGGCTGGAAATTGAAAATAAGCACCTACGTTAATGTACAAACTCAAAAATTGCTTGGGTAAGGTATTCTAGATTAAGCTCCAAAAATCCATCTGAATCATGTTTATTGCCTTATCTCTACATTTGATTGCCAACTTTAAGACTTTTGTCAGAATCAATATGAACACGAACCCTAAGATGATGAAATAAGATTCATGCAGCCGACCTCAAGAAGTTGGGGAAAGACTTGGCTTCTTCTTGTTGTAATACACAGACATGTGTAAGGTGAAGAACCTTAGAACTAATGTTGTTTTAAGCATGGCTTCTATGATTCTACATTCTATGTTATCTATTTTTGCTTAAGAAGTACATATGGTCATTCTACATTCTACATTCTATTTTGTAAGTTCAAAAACAGAGTACCACATCATCAAACAGCTAGACCAACAAATTGTCTCCAGAGGATTTTTCACTCTCTCTACACCAATTTTTGGCACCCTATACTAGATGGTGTATCAGATCTCTAAGCTTTTTAATACTTCTTCTCAAAGTTTTTAGCTTAACTTTCTAGAAACAGGGCAGAATGAAAATCTTATTTCTAGTGAGAAGTATGACGAAATGAGATTTTGGTTCGCAAAATCATGAAAAAGTTAAGTTTTTCGTTTAAAAAGAAATAATCATGGAAGCAATGTCCTGAACATAAAACCATGTGTAGTAATAACTGAACAGTAAATGATAGAAGTAGATGCTAACTGAAGATTAGATTGGCAGAAGTGAAAGTGCTTCCCAACAATATCAAATTGTTTTCAGGAACAATTTAGGCGAATGAAAAATATATTTACAACTGATAATCCAAATAAAACAAGTGAAAGAGGGCATATATTATAATTAACTAAGATGGCATCGTCAAACATACGTATTGTTGTTTGCACCTTATCGCCTCTTCTTTTACTTTGTCCGGAACTGTCAAATAGAAATTTCAAGCACTGCTTATCCTTTTTCCAGCGCTTCCGTACACCCAATAAGGTTGAACAGGGTTTTTCGAATTTTTGATGGGGTAAGAAGCCTGCATTGCAATTCCACACTTGCCAGCGAATGCATCGACTGCATTACGTTCCATCCTTATGTATCCATTCTCACCCCAGCTGTTGCCCCACGAGTTCCTCACAATCCAGTAATCCACACCGTTTTCTGTTCCATACCCAACCACAGCAACACCGTGGTCTAATGCTGTCCCACATTCACCAGTGAACACGCCCTGAGGAATTCAAAGAGAGAAAATTGTAACTACATCACAATTAAGAACTTTGTAGTTTCAGAATCATACAAGAACAAATATGCATTTTAGTATTTCTGTACAAATTTAAATAAAATACATGATTGGGAGCAGGGCAACCGATTCAAAGAGAGCACTGAGGTTTCCAGTAACAAAATTTAATCAGACAATACCAGTGTGTTCCGGAAGTCAGTTTCTTTTACATTCAACGAAAATCAATGAATTGAAAAGAGCCTAGGTTTCAAAGGGTGAGCATGAGTTTCATTTCTCGAATCAATAACTTCCTGTAATGTCAAAAGTGCAAGTTGTATCATTGGCCATTCGACTAAAGCAGGCTATTAGAGACGCAATATCTTTCTAAAGAGGAGATGAGCGGTTGGAGCAACCAGGCCATTGACCTAGGTGGTATGATCCCTCCTCCCCAAAGAGAAGGTGAATGGTTCAAGCCATCTTTGTCCAAGGTCCAATATCTAATAATCTCAGATATTCACCCGTCTTTATCATGTCAACAAACAATGTTGAACCACAAGGCCAGTCAAAAATCAAAGATTTGGAGCTCTTTTTTTTACCGAATTTCACAAACACAATGTTAAAAATAAAAGATTTGGAGCTCTTATTTTTACCCAATTTCAGAAACCCAATGTCAAATATCAAAGATTTGGAGCTCCCAATGTTACATATCAAATGGGGAAATTGATACTCTCACACACAGTGAATTGGTGGACAATTCCAATTGATTCAATATATTTCAGCTTAATACCATCAACAAGTAACAATAATTCACAAAAACCAATTGCAATTGATGAGTTTTTATGAACAAGAAAGATATGATTTATTACCGAGAGGTAGAGTTGTAGAGCCCTGCCAGTGGCTTCAATTGCAACGCTGACAGGTTGATGTGCCACGGCCTTCTTCAAAGCATTCTCATCAAAGGGTGGAACATCTTCGTAGCCATCTATGCTCACAACCCTAGCATTCTTCTGCAACAATTTCACAACAAATCAAAATCAAAAACCAATACACATATACATAAAACATATCTACACACACACACACATATATATATATAACATGTGTATGTATATATTTACTGACCCGAATTGGGTCGCACTTGGTGTCGATGCCTTGGTAAGGGTAGTGATCTTCGGAGTCCATTCCGCCATTGGAGATGATGAACTCGAAGGCGTAGTCCATGAGGCCTCCATTGCAACCGGCGTTGTATGATCTGTCGCAGTCGACCAGTTCTTGCTCGGAGAGAGTGATGAGATCGCCGGTGGCGATCTGGTTTACGCCTTCCACGGCGGCCACCGTCGAGAAGGCCCAGCAACTCCCTGGTTTATGTACAGAAAACAAATTTAAGATAGGTCCAATGGGCCGCTTGTATGGGCATCGTGGCCATTTTTTTTTTTTTTTTTTGTGACCCAATAAACAGCCAATAAAAATAAAAAAACCCCAAGATGTGTGTGTCAACTATCAAGTGTGTGTTTTTAACAAAAAAAAAAAAAAAAAAAAAAAAAAAAACTATCGAGTGTGTGTGATTGTGTGCTAGCGTGTGTTTTTTTTTTTTTTTTTTTCAAAAGGTTGGAGGGTACTTGTGAGCAGAATTGTGCATATGAGTTAAAAGAATGAATTTTGCTTATGTTAGCAAAATTAAATTGGAAAGTACAATTTAGCCCTTCTATTCTATTCATTTTTCAATTAAATTAACATAAAAACAAATAACCATTAACAGCAAATACGTAAAATAACACTTCTAGTTTATATGAATTTTATGTTTTTTTGGGCTTTAATTAAAATCATAGCCTGGTTAAAGAACCGGGCTATCTTTTTGGATAGGAAAAATCATACCAACCGAACTAGTGGGCTGGTGTAATTTGAGCTAATATTGGTCCAAAGTAAAAGGCTAAGCATAACAGGCCCATGGGCCTTGGATTTAATATACTCAATCTAAAAGGTCCACCAAAATTTGCTTAAAGATACCCTTTGACCAATTGATGACATATCAACCAAAAGTTCAAAATCTTCCGTTCTTCACACAGTTTGACCGCCAACACTCCAATCTCACTTTCCATTTTTCTAACTAACAAACAACAGTATAGAATATATATATATATATATATATATATATAACATATATGTATAAATTTAATGTATAATTAGGTATATATTTCAATGTTATCAAAATAATTTCTAAAAACTATAACCAAACAAATTTAATAGTTTTCGAATTTGTATATCAAACTATAATAAAACAAAAATTATATAGAGAGAGTTACTTACCACAATTTCCTTGATCTTTGACGGGAGCAACGGCACCTTTCTCCCGCCAATCAACGGACTCCGGCAACCGGTCACCAACCCGAACCGCGTAACGCCGGCTGGCGCTCTTGGACTTCAAGAACCGGCGCTTAGCGTCAGTCTTCGTGCCCAAATAAATGGACCGGTACTCTTCATTGGTCAGATCAGCAAACCGGTTTAAACCCACCTTGTACGTCCGGTTCTCCGAGTTATGCTCGTCAATGAACCTCAAATTATCCTTAAAAATCTCGAACCTCTTGTCGTGCTCTCCCAACCCGTTGTACACCTTCCCATGCTTAGCCAACCACCATTCATACATCGCCATCACCTCCCCTTCACTCCTACCCGAAGAATTCTCTATTATGTTATCATGATGTTGAATGATCAAAGTGTCTGTTGCAGACGACAACGAAGCAAACAAGAGGAAAAGAATGGCAGTGATAGAAATTGACATAATTGAAAATGAATTGATACGGTAAAAACTGGTGCTTGTGTTCAAAGAGAGCTAATAAAATGGTCTGTGTGTGTTTTGGTTTATAGAGAAAGAGCAGAGAGAGCAATTGGGCTATATAAAGAGAGACAGAAAGTTATAAAAATTCATGGGGGTGTGTGTGTTTTTTTTTTTTTGCATTTAATATGATTCAATGAATGGAGTATGGGGGACCTAGAGAGAGAGAGAGAGAGAGAGAGTTGCAGAGGAGACCATGTGAGCTCGTGGGTGATTGTAGGTCCTCTAGAAATACAAGGCTGGACTAACTGTTCTGACCAATGTTTCTATAATTGACCAGACAATGGTTCTGGATTTGAGGGTAGCCTACAATTTGGGCAAATGGGTTTTTGCCACGTGGAATTTCGTGACGGGTGTTATTGGAAATTGTGGGGACTTTTCTCGCAACCGACTGGTCAACCACCGTTCTCGGGTATTGGATAATTTCAACTGCTTTTCAAAGCCCATCGAAAGACACCATGCATTTAACTATCAATATATATCATTCAGAGTGAGGTTGGAGCAGTTATGACTGTTTAGAAACTTGAAACCCACTATCCATGTGCACACATGGATCCTCTCAGCAATCCAAAGAGAGATCCTCCCAATTCCCAAGGGGGCATGCCCCATACGAAATTATGCAATATTCATACAATAATATATATATATATATATATATATATATATATATATATATGTGTGTGTGTGTGTGTGTGTAAAATTCATATATATTATACTCTATTGGCCTCAAAATAGTTTTTCATTTAAAATCGAAGAAAGTATCATATTAGAATATTATAAGGTTGTTAAATTCACTTGATTTAAAACTATTGTGTTATTAAAATGCCACAATTTAAGTTGGATAATTTAAATTATTTTTTAAGAAATTATTAGATGATCCGGGTCAGTGATGGACCTAAATATTTATTTCAATGGGGTGATTTTAAACAATAATGAGGGCTGAGGGCGTGAGTGAGAGAAGAAAAAAATCAGAGGGGGGGGGGGGGCGAAAAAATAAAATAAAATAAAATAAAATTTTAGTGGGGGCAAGTGCCCCCACTTGGCCTCACATGGGTTGTTAGGTTTTTTCGGTCCATTTGACATTTAATGGATTAAATTCAATACGCTCTTATGGATAAAATTATTAGATGATCATATTCTATTAATAATTAATGAACTAGTTAAATTAAGATTCGATTAAAAAAAGTGTCCCACAAAACTGTATTAATATATGAACCAACTCAATATTAACTTTTATTATATTAGTTTACCAAGATCATTTAAAAAAATTTCTTTTTATAAAATTACTTTCTCAATTCGTGAATTATCAATTCAACAAATCTACTTAATTATCGATTCAACTTATCTATTAATTCAACTTATCTAATAATTTCTCGTGGTTTTCAAGTCCATACCAATCAAATGCCCGATTAAAGTCGGATAATTTGAATTACTTTTCAAGCCCACCGAAAGACACCATGCATTAATTATATCTTTCAGAACAGTTATATCTGTTTAGGAAATTGAAACCCACAAACCGCATGATCAACTATCCATATGCACCCAAATCCTCTCGTCATAGGGTTCGCTGCTATAAAACAATACGTCATTATATAACAGTTTATATCTAAAATGTAATATACCCTTGCTTAAATTTTTAAGAATATTTATAGAAATATGTAAAATATTTTGAATACCATTATATAGTAGTAATATTTATACAGATATACTATTAAATAAAAAAATTAATGCTTTTATGTAATTATTTTATTATTTATTTAGAATTGTTAAATTAACTATTTAAATTGTTGAGTTCATGATTCCAAGAAAAAAGACCTGAAATTACATTCTTATCCTTATCTCCACTGGGAAGATAAGAGTTCAAATCTCATAGGAAAAAATAAACCTAACCTATCTTGACTATGATAGAGACAACTAAGTATTGATCAGCAGTCAAATCTCTTATACTTTCGAAAGATAATATTTCGTTATCAAGGATAACGATTTCCATTAGATAAATTCCATGCGATAATGATAAATCTTATTAAAGATAAGATTTCCATGGGATAAGTTCCATGGGATAAGGATTATGATATTTCCTTATCAAGAATAAAGGAAGTGATGATAAATAGGAAGACGATTCGGGAATGAGGTACGACGAAAAAATGATTATTAAATCCTTGTCTTCCTTTTAGACCTCCGGTGACTAACTTGATCGTCGGAGAGCTCTTGATAGGCACCACACCGGTGTCGTCAAGGTTCATCGATCTTCTCCTCTCTTCTTTGCAGGAAAACGGTGTCGTATCGAACCGCGTGGATTTTAGCCTCAACAGTTGGCGCCGTCTGTGGGAACAACGATTCCTTTAAATCAATTAATTACTCAGTTGGGTATATACGTTTACGGTCCGGTATGGTTACCGAAGGAACAGCGTTGCAGGGATCTGGTCAAAGGGAAAAGTCAAGTGAAAACCTAGACGTCCCAAACAAACAGGAACGGCTTGCAGTGTTGGAACATCTTGTTCCACCGGTTCAACAAAGCTTGCCACGACAAGATCTCTCAAATCCAAACGGAGGTAATAGGAATCTTGAAGAGGAGGATAATCATCCTCCCCAAAATGAGACCGAAATGGAACAAAGCCAGGTGGGAAACTGACATAGAGAGGTGGTCCACCCATCTCTCCCACGAAGTTCCCGACCTCATGAAGGCACAGTTTTCTGTTTTAAGGAAAAGACAAAAAAAGTTACCTATTTTGACCTGTAGATCGAGGATCTCAAGGGGAAAATGGAAGATGTAATGCAGACTATGAAAGGGGAAGGTTCTGCCGCCATAGATGACCTAGTACAAAGGACCAACTCGCCGTTATGAAATGCCCACTGCCTAGCAAGTTCCGGATGCCCTCGTTCGAAAGCTTCGATGAGACCAAAGATCCCCTCGATCACCTGGAAACCTTTCAAGCTCTTATGCATTTACACGCCATGCCAGATGAAATCATGTGCCGAGCTTTTCCCACTACACTTAAGGGATCAGCAAGAGTTTGGTTCAACAAGCTGAAGCCAGGAACCATCAACACCTTTGAAGAACTGAGTAAGCAGTTTGTGAGGCACTTCATTGCAGGTTAGAGGCATAGGAGGCCGGCTACTTACCTGTTTACCTTGGAGTAACAAAAGGAAGAGTTGGATTCGGGAATACATCACTCGATTCAACGCAAAAATGTTGTAGGTAGAAGAGGTGGACGACAAGGTAGCTTTGACCGCTTTCATAGGAGGACTCCAATCCTCCAGATTCTTGTTCTCTTTATCAAAGGAGCCTCCCACCAGCATGGTAGAGGTGTTGATCAGAGCGCAAAAACACATTAACGTTGAAGACACCATGAGTGCACAGAAGGAAGAAGAGGACAAGAACAGCCCCTCTCGCCAGGGATGAAAATGATACCAAATATAAGAGATCGTTCTTCAGCCAGAGCGATAGCACATATCATGAGAAGGACTCAGATGAGTATACCAACTAAAAATTGTCTCACAGCTGGAATTAGCCTTATCAAGTCATTCACAATAAAGACTGGGGACATCTCAGTTAATCATTTTAAATGGAGAGTAGCTCCCTCACGTGTTATCTTGTTTTCAATAAGCCTTGAGGCAATGAAGGTCTTTAATGAAATTCCTCTCAGTTGCCTTGACTTTTGGTCAATTGTCTTTATACGTGCAGTATCCCCGTATTACAGGAGCTAGTAAATGAGTATCCTGTATTACAAGGACCCGAACTGAATAAATCCCGTAATCCATATCCCCGTACTATAAAGGATAGTAAATGAGTGACTTGTATTACAAAGACCCGGGAAAAATGAATCCCGTAATCCATATCCCCATACTATAAGGGATAGTAAATGAGTGTCCTGTATTATAAAGACCAGGGTTGAATGAATCCCGTAATCCATATCCCCGTACTGTAAGGGATAATAAATGAGTGTCCTGTATTACAAGGACCCGGGCTGAATGAATCCCGTAATCCATATCCCCGTACTATAAGGGATAGTAAATAAGTGTCATGTATTACAAGGACCAGGGCTGAGTGAATCCCGTAATCCATATCCCCGTACCATAAGGGATAGTAAAAAAGTGTCCTGTATTAAAAGGATCCAGGCTGAATAAATTCCGTAATCCAGATCCCCGTACTATAAGGGATAGTAAATGAGTGTCCTGTATTACAAGGACCTGGGCTGAATGAATCCCGTAATCACTATTCCCTTACTATAAGGGATAGTAAATAAAAATCCCTTACCAAAGGGACGAGCTGAGTAAAGTTCGTAAAATTTAATTCCCTTATTAAAGGAGTAACGACCTGAATGAAACTTGTACAATTTATTCCCTTACTAAGGGAAGATTACCCAAGGGTAGGGGAAAAAAAAAAAAAAATCAAAATCAAAATAAACTGTTCAATGAACAGTGCCGGGGACCAAAAAAAAAAAATTGTTACTATTTAATGAACAGTACCCGAGGGCACTGTTCCCTCGGGAAGAGTGCCGACAGGAAAAAAAAAAATTTACATTCCCAAAGCTTGACGAGCAAACTTGGGAATGGGGAGCAACTAATAGGGAAAAATAAACCTAACCTATATTGACCTAACGATAGAGGTAACTAAGTGTTGATCAGCCGTCAAATCTCTTCTACTTTCGAAAGATAATTTTTTGTTATCAAGGATAATAATTTCTATTGGATAAATTCCATGGGATAATGACAAATCTTATCAAGAATAATAATTTCTATTGGATAAATTCTATGGGATAAGGATTATGATATTCCCTTATCAAGAATAAGGGAAGTGACGATAAATAGGAAGACGACTCGAGAATGAGGTACGACGAAAAAACGATTATTAAATCATTGCATTCTTTTTAGACTTCCGATGACTAACTTGATCGTCGAAGAGCTCTTGGCAGACACCACACCGGTGCCGTCAAGGTTCATCGATCTTCTCCCCTCTTCCTTGCATGAAAACGGTGTCACGTGGATTTTAGCCTCAACATATATACATACATATATATATATATATATATATATATATGAGAAAAATGATAGAAGGAAAAGTAAAACAAGTTCTGCTGGTGGTAATAAGAACTATGAGAATGTTCTAATAAATACATATTAACATAAATAACTTAATCAATCAAACCAAGTTTGATATCAACTAATGTAAAAAATAAATAAATAAATAAATAAAAACAAAAAATAAATAATAAATAATTAGAAGCTTTTGGTTTGATAACCATTCCGTTGGCAACCACTCGATCTCTTCTTTTGAAGATTAGATCCAACTAACAGTATCTTGTTTATTAGATCCAACCAATAGTCTGTGTGTTTTTATGTGTTCTCTTTTATGTACTCCAAAAAATATATATATATAATAATAATAACAAAAAAATGTTATCTGCTTTCTTAGATAGGTAACTAACATCTTAGATAGGCGTAACCATATACAGTATCTATCAGTCAGCATGGAAGAAAGGCGCAACCTATAAAATGATGCTTTTCCACCATATTTCTAGTGGGGTTTATACTTTTACATTTTATATATATATATACACACACACACACATATATTAATCGCTCTTCTTTTTCTCAGTCATGTTATATTTCTCCTATATCTGTTTGTGTTAATATATTTACATACATGCATGTGTATATGACGTTATCTGCTTTATGGGTAACGAGACAATGATTTGGCACTAAACTATTCTTCTGGGGAATGTGCTCATTAGGAGACACTACTGCAAGTAATTGGGTTCTATCTTAGAGTCGATATAAACCGTCATACAAACTTTATATCGATTTTACGACGATGTCTAACACATCTCACCATCTTCCTTTCTCAATTTCTATTACCATTTCTATTATTTAAATTCTTCATTTATGAAGATTATAGTATTTTAATTTCATCTTTCTTTGTATCAATTGGATTGTTTGGCATGCATTTTGCTTTTGTTTTTAAACTGCTACAGTGTTGATTTTGACAACAAAAGCATGCTTGGTGTAGTCTTATTTTATTTTACAAAGTACTAAAACACTTCTGGAACAGTGACCCAAAATCAAAACACCAAAAAATTATTTTCTTATTTTGACAACTGTTCATGACCCAAAGCCAGAACAATAGCGCAATATGGGCCAAAAAAAAAAAAAGAAAATTCTAAAATTAATTATGTATATGTGTGTGTATATATATAGTATAAACCTATTATAGGTTTAAACAAAATGGGTTATATATATATATATATATATATATATATATATATATATATATATGTGTGTGTTCAACAAAATGAGTATGTATATATATGTATGTATATATAGTTTTAGGGATATTTCAGACTTTTTATCTGATTCTTTAGGTTAAAAGTTGTGTTGAAAAAGTGAAGGGTATTTAAGTCATTTTACATAGTGTCATAACTGTGCAAGTAATGGTTGGGGTGTGAGTGAAAAACGGAGCAAAAATTTATTAGGTAAATGATACTTATTTTCGAAAGATGTGTGAGAGTGATATTTGGCCGAACCTAAAGGATTTAAGTGAAATTAACCAAATATGTAAAAATGATAAATTTGATAAGTGAGTAAAAAAAAAAAAAAAAAAAAAAAAAACTAGGTTTTAATCCAGTTATAATTTCTTAACTTCCTCGAGTAGAATGCCTGAGTACATGCTTTCATATGGACAAAGTGTGGAAAATCTATTGTAACACTGAACTCCTATGTTGATTCTCAGCAAACATCAAACTATTATTATGATCTTTACCCAAAAGGAAACAAATTACATAAATAATCAAATATCCAACCCACTTAAACAAACTCATTTCAACTAAATCTACACAATATAATTTTGCCCTGAGTTCAACCTGATTACGTAATTAACATACTAGGACAAAGTACCTTAGCACTTTGTTGGTTTCTTTTGATTTGTCAATTGGGACTCCATTTATGATGGGTTTAGATGTTCCCACCGTGATGAAAGCAACTGTTGAGTCACTCGGCACTCTTCTTCCATATGTCATAGGAAGCATCTGCTTTTTGCAGTCTGTGCCCGTGTATAGTGCAGCCTCGCAGTTACAATCCTCCAAACAGGCTTCTTCACAATCTTCTGCGGTTGGCACTTACGATAACACCTTGTATGAATGGTCTTCCCAGGTGCTAGGTAATGGCATCATCACATTCGCTTCCTTGTCTTTGCAACTTGGTGCTGTGAAATATCTCTCGCACCCTAAACTCCACTTGCCTGGATCAACGAAATCGAATCCTGGAATACATCGACACAAAGGTTCCCTGTCCATCATAGTACAAAACCCATTAAGGCCACATAGACCTTTAGGGTCACACTTATCTGTGGAAGATTCCCATAGAACTGACCAGTTGCCTTTCTGATCCGAGCTGTGTGCATAAAGCCGGAAGATACCATCCACATCAATTCTCATCAGATACATCATTCCTTTTTTAGGATATCCTCCTGTTGTTAGGTTTATTAGGACAGAACTTGAGTTTAGCAAGTAGAGATAACCACCATCATCAAGATTGAGGGTCACGTTGTTTCCTACTCCATTCGTTCCAGACGCCCAGTAAGCCATACTGGTTGTGCGCGGATTGTCATCCGCGTACTGCACAAGGTTCCCATCCCCTTGCATCGCGAGACGAAATATCCCCTTGGAGTGGTCAGTCTCCGAAGCACTAGATACCAACTCTGCTCCATTTGAGAGGCGCTGACCGGGCAAAAGTGTGTTGGTTGGGTGCTCAAAGCTCTGCCATATGATCTGTTGATCGGAGTTATAGAGGACAAAATTGCCAGAATCTAGCATGGATGCCGAAGAAGCAGGTTGGTCAAGGTTTGCTATATACATGTCTTGGCCTTGTGTTGGCCGCAAGAGTAATCGTCCATCGCTAGACAATAGCAAAGTGGTATTGCTGGGGACTACCCTTTGAGGGTTGTCTCTGAGGGCTGTCCAGACCATAGTCTTTTCAGGAAATCCAGCAAGAAATATGCCAACAGCATAGCCATCGGCTTCCTTGTAGAAGCCGAAGGCGTATAGACCGGAACGGGATAGCCAAGAGGAGTGGGTACCGGTGGGTGTTAGTGAAGAACCTAAGCTTATATTGGAATTTGTTTGTTGTGCTGATGGTGTATGCAAAGTAGAGACAAGAAGAAAGAAAAAGATAGAAATTACCATCTTCTCTTTTCTGTTTCTTCTGTGTTCTCCTCTGCAGCTAATTGTTATGGGAAACTTGTTGTTTTATACTGTGTTCAACTCCAAAGGAGTCCTTAGTCTATTAGTGGCATGTAAATTTTTGAGCTACTGTAACATGTATGTAATCTTCACGATATTTCATAAAGCATCCATGTTGTTATTGCACTGCATTTTCTATTTAAGGCGGCGTTTTCTGGGAAAGAAAAGTCCGTACGTCAACGAAGAATTTTTTACACTGAATTGAAAATACGTCACGCGCTTAACCTTGGAATCAATAATGACGTGTACATATATTTATTAATTTATTATACACATCATCACTTTATTTATTTGGATTATTTTGATTATGAGACAAAAATATAATGAATGGTTATAAAAATGATCCACCGAACACATTTATGGTATTTATGAAGCCAAAATATACCCAAGAAACAATGCTTGCAATTGTAGATGACCGTAGAAAGACCAAACCACAGCCACAAGATTGATGGGGTTAAGATCCACCTAACACATTTATGGTATTTATGAAGCCAAAATACACCCAAGAAACAATGCTTGCAATTGTAGATGACCGTAGAAAGACCAAACCACAGCCACAAGATTGATGGGGTTAAGAGAGACTAACTGCATTACCTGTTCCTACTTTCTAGATAGAAATTTAACGCGGTGAACAGTAAAGCCCGCAGTCAAGGAAGATTTTTCTGTATTCACGGGACTGTTCACAGTCACGTCCCCTTTCTTTAATTGAAAAACCAAACATAAAAGGTATAATTAATATCTTTTTTTAATTTAATAAAATTTTAAAACTTAATATTTTAAGGTCAAATTAGTTTTTAAAATTTTGATTTTTTTTTTTTTTTTTTAGCATTTGTATATATACATTCATGTATATAACCTTCATTATTTACCTTTTTATGCAATTGTCTCTATATAAATGTTATATATATACACACATAAATGGAATCTTTAGAACATCTCCAATGCATCTTTCATTTGAGCTGCTAAACTCAAAATTTGAAAGAGGTGTAAAAAATGGATTCTCCAATGCGCTTTCATTTGGGCTTTCAAATTTTGAGAATGCCTAATTTTTTCTCAAATATAGGAGCTGCCAATTTTTTTTGGCAGGCCTTCTCTCTCTCTCTGTACGACGCCGTTTGGAACGACTTTATCTCTTTGCATTTCCTGTCCCCTTTGCCAGTTTCGTCAAAATCTGACTTCAATCTCTCTCTCTCTATATATATATATGTATATTTGTATATCTAACTCTCAATACAAAATCTGACTTCAATCTCTCTCTTTCAATTCAATGATTCCAATTTCTCCATGGTCGAAGATGGCATTTACAGATCCGGCTTGAGAGTTAGCAGTTGCAGAGAGAGAGGGGGGGGGGGGGCAAGCTTGAGAGTTGAGAGCCAGCGGCTGAAGCTTGCAAACGGCGAACTCTGAAATGATATGTCGATATGAGTTTTGATATAGGTAATAGGTTTTGAACTTTTGATTCTTGCAAACAGATAGATATACTGAAATATAAACAATATATACATACATATATGTGTGTGTGTGTTTGAGTGTGTGTAAAAGAGATGATGAAGCTGAATGAAAAGAGAAAGAACACCGAAAACCATAGAAATGGGTGGAGTAGGGAAGCAAACAATTACAACATATATGTATCTATAGATTTTCAGGAAACATCATCCCCATTTTAGATCTGCTCTCAGCCGCCTCACTTACCCTAATTTGATAGATAGATAAACTGAAATATATAGCTTTAGAACTTCTTATTCTTGTAGATTTTGTAGTTTGCAGTTGCAGAGAGAGAGAGGGCAAGTTCAGAGTCAAAAACGAGAACAAAGATGGAGGCGATTGGGGAGGCTGAAATGATTTGCTCTAAAAATATTATGTGGGACATAATGCAATGAATGGTTAAGATGGGAAAGTAATTTCGAAATCAACGATCAGAGTTAAAGTAGGATTGGAAAGCTAGAAGTGGGTTGGAGTTGGTTCAATAGAGGGTGAGAATTGTTAAAATATAGCATTTTGGATGGAATGCATCATTGGAGCAAAATTACTAAAATATAGTATTTTGACACTGTAGTTCCTCTCAAAATATAGATTTGGTAGCCCGAAATGACATTTAGCATTGGAGATGTTTTTAGTTTTCATCATTATTAAGTTTTAATTGAAGTAATATTATGAGATTTGAGTTTTAATTGAATTAAAATTATAGAATTTGAGTTTTAGTTGATGTGTAAAAAAAAAAAAAAAGAATGGTTTCATAATTCATACACGATATGGACCTATGGTTAACAATATATGTTTATATATATATAAAAGCAAAGAAAAAGAAAAGAATTGAAAAAAGAAAAAAGAAAATGAAATAATCCATTCACGTGAGTTTTTTTTTTTTTTTTTCTCTTTCTTTCCGTTCACATATATTGAGCGCGCACACACACATATATCTATATCTATACTATTATTAAATGTACAAAGAGTTTTAGTGTTTTAGTATTTCTGTATTTATTTATTAATATAAAAAAATATTTATTAATTGCTTCCGTAGTTGAATATTTATTTATTAATATAAAAAATATTTATTAATTGATATAAAAAAAGTTTTTATAAAAAGAGTTTCTATAAAACTCTAAAACAAATTACCTAATAAAATTTCAGTTACCTATTTTATTTTCTATAAAACTCTATCACATATAACCTATATATATATTAGGTCTGGCGTATTTATTTATTAATATAAAAAATATTTATTAATTGCTTCTGTAGTTCAATATTTATTTATTAATAGAAAAAAATATTTATTAACTGATATAAAAAAAATTATAAAAAGAGTTTCTATAAAACTCTAAAACAAATTACCTAATAAAATTTCAGTTACCTATTTTATTTTTTATAAAATTCTATCACATATAACCTATATATATATATCTTAGGTCCGGCTTGTGGTGTGCATATTTTTTCTTTTCTCTTTATAATTGGGCTCGTAAGTTTTTTCTTTACTTTTTTTTTTATATATATATAAATTATTATTATGTTATTATTATTATTTTCTCTTTCTAATTGATGTTTACGTTTAGAAGTAGTTGATTTGTTTTATTTTTATTTTCTCATTCTAATTGGTGTTTCTAATTGATGCTTAGAAGTGGTTGATTTTTTTTTCTTCATTTTTTTATTTTATTATTTTTGGTTCATTCTTAATTTATTATTATTTTGAGTCATTATTGTTTTTTTTTTTTTTTTTTTTTCTTTTTCAGAAGTATCATTCTTCTTTAGTTTTTATTTTTATTTTACTCTTTGTAAGTATACTTTGGATGGTTTAAAATTTGTTATTCTTAATTTGTTGTATTGAGAAGGTTGGATTGTTAATTTTTTTCTTTACTTTTTCTTTTTAGAAGCATTATTATTATTTTTTTTTCTTTTGTTTTATTTTTATTTTTCTCTCTCTATTTGACGTTTAGAAGTAGTTGATTTGTTTTATTTTATTTTTCTCTTTCTAATTGATGTTTAGAAGTGGTTGATTTTGTAAGTTTACTTTGGATTGTGATTTTTTTCTTTTATTTATTTATTTTTATTTTGGTTCATTCATAATTTATTATTATTTTGAGTCATTATTATTAATTTTTTTCTTTACTTTTTATTTTTTAGAAGTATCATTATTCATTTTTCTTTAGTTTTTACTTTTATTTTTATTTTACTCTTTATAACTTTACTTTGAAATGTAATTTTTCTCACAGTTTTTATTTTCTATTTTTGGTTCATTCTTAATACAGATTTCAATGTTTTTGGGTTTTCGGTTGGACTTAATTATTAAATGAATTTGTTGCTGAAAATTTTTTATATGTTTTTTTTTCAATTTTTATTATTTTTTATTTTTTGCTAGCTAAGAATACAAATTTCTATAATAAAAATAAAATAATTTCTATAAAACGCTACCAAAAATTACCTATTTTATTTTCAATAAAACTCTATCACATAATGCACATTAGATAATTATATATTTAAAGAGTATCTATAAAATTCTAACACAAATTACCTATTTATCTATTTATTATTAGCTTTTTAATGAATGGAAATCTATTTAAACAAAAATTATAAATATAAAAAAATATTAATTAATTGATATAAAAAGATATTTTAAAAGAGTTTATATAAAAATCTAACACAAATTACCAATTTATCAATTTATGAGTTTTTAATAAAAGAAAATTTAATTAGACAATAATTATTAAAATAAAAAGTATTTATTAATTGAAATTAAAAAGAGTTTTTAAAAAAGTATCTACAAAACTCTAACACATATTACCTATTTATCTATTTATTATGAGTTTTTTTTAATAAAAGGAAATCAAATTAGAAAAGAATATATTTAAAGAAAATAAAATAATTTAAATAAAATTTACTATAAATTAGCTATTTTATTTTCTATAAAACTCTATCACAGTATCTATTTATTATGAGTTTATTCATGAAAAAAATTATTAAAAGAAAATAATATAATTTATATAAAACTCTATCACAAATTACCTATTTTATTTTCTTTACAACTTTATCACATATAACTCGTATTTATCTATTTATTATGAGTTTTTTAATAAAAGGAAATCTAATTAGACAAAAATTTATTTAAAGAAAATAAAATAATTTTTTAAAAGAGTTTCTATAAAATTCTAACACTAATTACCTATTTATTATAAGTTTTTTAATAAATGAAAATCTAATTAGGCATGAATTATTAATATAAAAAATATTTATTAATTGATATTAAAAATAAAATAATTTATCTAAAACTCTACCACAAATTATTACCTAATAAAATTCAAATATGTGTTTTAGTATTTATTTATTAATATAAAATAATAATTATTAATTGAAAAAAATATTACCTAATAAAATTCATATTACCTAAAAAATTATTTCAAATTACCTAATAAAATTAAAATTAAAAATTACCTAATACTTTTATAAAAGAGTTTTCATAAAATTCAAATTACAAACTACCTAAAAAAATTCAAATTACCTAAAAATTTATTTCAAATTACATAATAAAATTCAAATTAAAAATTACCTAATAAAATTCAAATTATCTAAATATTTATTTCAAACTATAAATAAAAAATATTAAT